GCGAATGCCACGTCTCGCCCCGATGATGAGCTGGAACAGAAAAACACCATCCCTCATTCATCTTTATTATTCTCATGCAAATGAATATCCAATGTATTATAAATTGCCTCCGTTGGATGCTGGACGGAAGCAAATGATTTCAGCAGGGTTGTTTATATTTGGGTGTTAATTATTTCACCATCTTGAGCCACTTAATTGTAATTATGCCCGACAACAAGGTGATACCACTTTGATGGCATTAGTCTCTTGTCTGTACCACAGGTGACGAGTTTGACGGCTACTCGGTTAAGTACTTATTTCTGTGGCTTTTGTGTATTTGGAGTAAAAAAATGTTGGTCCTTGTTGTCCTGAAAATGAAATGATAGCTTATCCTCAAGAGAGTCAACACTTTTCTTTGGCATTTACCTACCATGACAGTAACATCATCTCTCTCTCTTAAGACTTGTATTAATATGTTTTCAAAGTGTGCTGTCATCTCAGCTGTTGTATTTTAAAGGGCAAACCTGCCGTCGTTCTTACCGGTTGAGTCTGTGTCTTTCTTGTCTGTCTTTTAGCTATAAATGTCTTTTCCCAGGATATCGGTGTAGATATTTTGCAGCCCATGCAGGGCTTACATAGAACAGGCAAACTGACATGCATATTAGCAGTTAAATCCTCTATAGTGCCGACATTTGGGTTCAGTCTTTCCGTTTTTTAACATGTTGTTCACATTGTTCATTTATTCAAGTGATACACTTGGGTGTTGTGTAAGGAGATTGCACTTCTGTTTTGAGCTGTGAAAAAAAAATAGCTTACAATAAGCTGTTCTTTCTGTCAACAGTGGATCTAACTTCATCACACCTTCCGAAGAGTGAGATGAAGAAATTAAGTTTGAACAAGATCATGGGAAATGCCTCATAGAGTGTAAATAAATATACTATCAAGTGCCACCCTTTGCCTCCAAAACAGCTTGAGTCTTCATTGAATTTTCTGTCACTGAGGTCCTGAGCAGTGTGTCAGAGGACATTGGATCATTCTTGAAGGGAAGCCTCCAGTTCTTTGAAGAATGAAGGAAGTGAAAATCTTTACAGTAGTTCCCATGAAACCTCTCTGAGTTTTAGATCTTGTGAATGGGGGAGGTTGTGGTTGGCTTTTAGCTTCTTTCTAGCGTTCATGAAACAACTCCTGCGCAGTCATTGGATTTTAGGATACCAGATACAGATTGACAAATTGGCAACAGACAAATGTGTTTTTGAGGTGTCCTCTGGCTTTCCCCTGGCATATGTCTGTCTTAAAGTTAGGATTAAATGACTTATATGGCCAAATGGCATCTATTATATTGCTTATTAATCCAGGTTACTTGTTTCCCTTGCAGGTGTATGTCTTGTGTTGGCCCTGATTGGTTTATTTTTTCCATCACTGCAATAAATGTCATCTTCACAATTCACAAGTTCACAATAGCCAGTTAATGTGTTAATTTGTGTCTGTGGTAAATTTTGATGCTAGAATATTTAGTGTTTAACAGCCATTGTAATTAGTGATAATCAACTTGTCATTCCTAGATGTTCCTAACTGAAGATGAAACAAAGTAAATTTTTTTCTAGCACCATCACCTTGACTAAACCCCATGGTAAATGTTTTTTTTGTGTTCAGTCAAAAGGTGACTCACAAGAATGGAGGCCCCTGTTGCAGCTTTTTTCCCCTTGGTTTTGGATTTGGTAAAGAGCAACTGTTGGTCACTTTGCTCCAAGTTATATTTTTTTGCCATGCCAGAGCAACAGCTTGGTGACGAATTGGGCAGATTGTTCAGTCTTTGACCAAAGGGAACAGTCTGATGAAAGTCTTGGTTTGCTAGTTGGTTGGTTGTTCCGCCACTTTAGTCCAGACTGAAATATTGCAGCATGTATTGGACTGATTGCAATGATATTTGGTACAGACATTCATTTTTTCCAACTTTGTTAATCCCCTGACTTTTCATCTAGCACCATCATCCTGTAAAATTTAATGTATGACCCTTACTGTAGAGCACTTTGTTTAGTTGTAATTAGCAAATGTGTGCATGCTGGCACACTAAGTAAGTTGTTGAACATGGTAAGCATTACAACAGCTAAACATTAGCATGTGAACATTGTCATTGTTGGCACGCCGTCATTAGCATTTGCCTCAAGTGCAGCCTCACAGAGCTGCCACTGTAGCTGTACACTCTTAGTCTTGTCTGGGAGTATCACGCTACTGTAAGCAGTGTAAATTTGTTGAGTTTCCGTTTCTGTTCGCCAGGATGGGTTCCCGTACACCATGCAGGGGGGAAAAGGGGGAGGGTTGAGGAGGTCAGGTGAAAATGAATGACGCGATGTGATGCAGTGTCCCTGTGTGTGTGCAGGTGCAGGTGCATGTACATGTCGAGTCTCGTCCTGCTAGCACACTGACCTTTTACTCTGTCGGTGGGAAAGCAGAGGGCGCCTTAATTACCTTCACAACAACAGCCCTTCTAACCCTGCTCAGCCACAGGATGTCACGAAACCCACTGTATACACACCACATGTGCTCTGTAAGTCTGCATTACACAAAGAAACAGTACTGCGGAAGGTCACTGTGCACTATTGCATTGACCTACATGTGTTGTGCTATCAGATGGTTATATCTCTCATTATGTGTGTGTGTGTGTGTATAAAGTTGTTGTCATTTCTGTACCCCAGTATTGAGATTTATAGACAGTGAATGTATCAGTTTTCAGAATTTTGAGCCATGTTAGCATAGTAGCTCTAGGGATGGCAAGTTTGCTGTCTTTTTTTTTCCTGACAAAAAAAAAAGGTCCAGATCGCTTTATTTGACCTGATTTCAGCAAAACTGTAACCAAGGAGCTGCAAGACAGAAATGAGCCCTGTGGGGAACCCTGCATGTAGCCGACCTACGGCTAATTGGAGCCAGGAGGACATTCAGGGCCTCTTGAAGTTAAAGCGCCATCTGTTACAGGGTAAACACTATCAAGCTTTGATTCACAAAGTGACATGATGATGAAACAGTGATTGGTCAGCTCGGGTCAGGCAGTGCCATCAGCAAACTGCTGAGTTGATGGTCAGATCAGTGGCAGAGAAAGAGAAAGTTATGGACCAGTATTCCAGTGACCCTCCTTTAACATGATTAGCCTATTAACTAAACCAAAAAAAAAAACAAAAAACAAAGAATACAGTAAAGCACATTTCTTACTTTTTAACACAACATTAATGTTGACATAGAACTCTGGCACGAGTTATGCTGTCACTAGTGTACATTTTGTGCTGTTATAAAACACACAGCTGTGTAAAAATGACAGATCCGTTCAGAGAATATATTCATGACTAGCTGTGAAATGTTTCATGAAGCCTTGGATGATAGCAAAGCCATTGTTGTGACAGGGGCGCAATTACAAACATCATATGTTGGTTTTGAATTTTATTTGAGCAAACTCAAGAAACACTGAGCCTGATGGATACAAGGAGAATAGTACTAGATAAAGTCCTCATTTCAGTCATCACTGATTAGAAACTACAATGTTTCAGTAATTGCCTGGTGCACTTGGTGTGAGCTGTCCACTGCTTAATCTGTGGAGAAGAAAGACCATGTCCGAATAGATTTTTTTTAATGGAAAAACCATTTGTTTTAAGTAGGAGGACAAGCATTGGATTGTTGTTTTTTGGCAGAATGGGGATCTGTCAGGAATGTTACGTTATATATTTACTATGATGCACGAAGAAAAGATTTTCTGAGGCGCTCACAGTGAAGATGGAGTGATGGCTCACTGCTACTGCAATGTGTAATTTGCAGTCTAGGACACTTGTGTTGCCTGATCAAGCCTGTGTGTGTGTGTCAGGACTTGCCACATAACCCATGGATCAATGGTTGTTCTATTTCAGATGGCCTGTGTGTGTTTCCGCTCACTTCCTTCCCCAGTGGTCTTCTGTGTCGTGGTTCATTACCTTGTGTGGTTTCAGCCGGTTGTTGTGATTCTACTCTGCCATTTTGACATTTATTTGTTGAAACACAGACCTTTGCTTGATCTGACAGTGACAAACCTTTGAGGCAGCAGGTTAGATCCCTCAATGGAGTGACATTAGTGTTCGTTATAATGGAATCTCTGCATCAGATGAAAATGTGAAAGGGAAGAGAATAACTCCTTTCTCAGTAACTACTGTTGAGCTCCTCCTGGGCAAGATACTTAACCTTCACCGCTCCACTGGAGCTTCAGCGGCCAGCAGCAACAGAATGTGGTTTACTGGAAAGCTCCCAGGACGGACCTGAGTACAAGCATGTGTGCTCAGTTTTAAAGATTTAATGTGGTGTTGAAAAGCATTAAGAATGAATCCACTTGTCTGTTTTGATTTGAGCTAGGGCTGGGCGATATGGCTTAAAAATAAAATCTCATATTTTTTTACACCAAAC